ACTGGGGTCCTCTCCTTTTCCTCCCCCTCTCAGCAGACTCCCTTGGCAGGGGGCGAATATCCACCTCGCTGCGCTGCACTGCCCCGGGAGCAGATGCTACCCTGAGTGTGTAGACATGCCCATGTGCCATGTGCAGCATTGCTGTGTGTGTGTCCCTAACCCTATCTTCAGCTGTGGCTTGTGGTGGGAAGATGTCCCACCACGGGGTCAGGGGTACAGCAGGGCTGTGCAGGAACCCTGTGAGCAGGAGGGCAAGATTCCTTTTCGGCAGCCTCACTGCGGCTATGTGCTCCAAACTAGCGCTCCATGGGCAACCACATGGATAGGCTCCTCTCTCCACTGCGATCCCCAGCCCGAGAAGGCCATGCGAGGAGTGTGCAGTCCCTTACCGCTGGCCACTTCCCCCTGTGTGTGTCTAGGGAAAGTATTGCAATTCGCCTGATGGGCCTTCCCTGGCCTCCTCCAAGCCCTGGGACGCATCCCGGAAGTGGGGGGGGAGGTGTCTCCAGGAACATGCTGGTGGGTATGGTGTCGGTGCTGGCCTCCTCATCTTCCTCCCCCTCATTCTCAGTCATGCCCTCTGGGAGGCTGACAACAGGTATCCAGAGTTGTCAACAAGGGGGGAGAAGGGACAGCCGTGGAGCTGGTCAGGAGTGGGGTGCTGTACTCCCTGGCCCTGGTATAGGACTGCCTCAACTCCTTAATCTTCATCCTGACCTGCTCCTGGGTGTGGCTATGCCCCCTCTGGCCCAGTCTGTTGGCCATCTGACCATAAACGTCCTCATTCCTGCACCTGGTGCGAAGATCCTGGAGGTTTGCCTCCTCTCCCCAGATTTCAAGGAGATCCAGGAGCTCCGTAGCGGACCAGGATGGTGCCTTCCTCTTTCGCCCCTAGGCAAGGGCTTCAGAGGTGGCTGCCAGCTCCCTTGCAGCCACGGAGGACTTGGTGGGAGCATGGAGGTTGCTCATGGCAGCGGGGAAGGCAGAACAGGCTGCTGGTGTGTGGCACAGGGCTAGCAGGGTTTTCCTTGTGCCACAAGCCCTTTCCCCTGAGGCAGCACCTTTAAAGACTGCTAGGGGCGTGGAACTATAGAGTTCTGATGAGTGTGGATAGAGTGGCTACCAGGGCAGTTGTGAGAATCCCTGGAGGCCATTTATTTTAAAATAACCACAACTGAGTTGTCTACACACACCATATTTCAAAATAATGAAGAAGTGGGCTGTGCCCATGAAAGCTCATGATACCATCTACATGTTTTGTTAGTCTATAAAGTGCTACCAGACCATTTGTTGTTTTTTAAGTTAATCATATAGACTAACTCAGCTACCTCCTGAAGCTGTTTTGAAATAGGCGTTATTCCTTGTGAAATGAGGATTACAGAATTCGGAATAAATAGCCCATTATTTTGAAATAAGGCTGCAGTGTAGACATGCCCTTAAAGACTAACAGATAGATTAGATTAGATAATCATGAGCTTTCATGGGCAAAACCCACTTCTTCAGATGATCTTGAGAAGAAGTGGATTTTGCCTACCAAAGCTCATGCTGCTATATATATATTTTTTGTTAGTCTCTTTGGGTATGTCTACACTACAAAGTTAATTCAAACTAACAGCTGTTAGTTCGAATTAACTTTCATAGGTGCTACACATACAAACCTCTAGTTCAAACTTAATTCGAACTAGGTAAACCTCATTCTACGAGGACTAACGCATAGTTCGAATTAAGTAGTTCGAATTAAGGGTGGTGTAGGCACTTAATTCGAACTAGTGGGAGGCTAGCCCTCCCCAGCTTGCCCTGGTGGCCACTCTGGGCCAAACCAGGAAAACTCTTCTGCCCCCCTTCCGGCCCCGGAGCCCTTAAAGGGGCACGGTCTGGCTATGGTGCTTGTGTCAGTTGCAAGCCTGCCAGCACCCAGCCAGCAGACCCTGCACCTGGCATGAGCCAGCCACCCGCTACCACCCAGCCCTCCGCCTCTTCCCGGGACCAGGCTGGGGGCGCCCCGGGGCCCGGCCCGGGCGCCACAC